CGTCCCGCTCCGCGGGGGAGCAGCACCACCGCGTGGCATCGCAGCCCCGCGCAGGGTCCCCGGCAGGGACAAACCGAGTGCTCGGGGCTGTCACTCGTTAAAATTCTTTGTAATTAAAATGCTCCCTATTAGGGGCAGAGAGCCAGTGCTGGCCCTGCCCGAGACCCTCTCCGGGCTGAACAGTCCCGACTCGCTCGGCCTTTTCCTTGCAGGAAAGGTGCTCCGGTCCCTTCATCATCTGAGCGGCCCTCTGCTGGGCTCTCTCCAGTATGCCCACGTCTCTCCTGTACTGGGCGGCCCAGAACTGGACACAGCACTCCAGGAGTCGCCTCCCCAGGGCTGAGCAGAGGGGAAGGATCACCTCCCTCTACCTGCTGGCAGCGCTCCCCCTAAAACCCTCTGGGACACCATTAGCCTTCTTTGCTGCAATGGCACATTTCTGGTTCATGTTCAATTTGGTGTCCACCAGCACCCTCAGGGACTCTTCTGCCGAGCTGCTTTCCAGCTGGGTGGCCTCCAGCGTGTACTGGTGTACGGGGTTGTTCCTCCCCTGGTGCAGGACTTTGTACTTCCCTGTGTTGAACTGCACGAGGTCCCCGTCAGCCCGTTTCTCCAGCCTGCCCATGGATGGTGGTAGCACGACCCTCTGGCACGTCAGCCAGTCCTGCTATTCTTATGTCAGTGGTGGGAGTGGGAAGGACACACACCTGCACAGGACACACCCCAGCTAACTTAGGGCCAAAAAGCTGAGAGATACCTGGCATCCCCAGTGGGATACGTCATCGTCCTTGTTGTCAGGCCCGAAGGTGAGCAAGGTGAGCTAGAGGCTGTGGTTGATCCTTGCATACTCCCAGTACATTCTGTAGCTCTTCCCAGCACCTCCCTGTTGCTTCAGCTCCTGTGGCTTTTGGTCCCGTGGCCTCAGGTGCCAGCACCACATCCTGTTGAGAGAGATCAGCATTGTAGGAGGCAGGTCTCCTTGTTAGCATTCCCATGCTGGGTTTTGCAAGGCACTATAAGCTAGCCTGGCTGTGCCTTCCAGAGGTCACGTATAGAAAGAGGCTGGTGGAATACACCATCATGTCCCTGGGCTCTACAGCTCAGTGACCGCTTCCAACAGCAGCCAGGGGCTCATAGGGGAAATGCTTCCGTAGCTGCCAAGGGCCCGCAGAGAGATATCTGAGCATTTGAAGTGAGAGGGGGACTCAACAGATGCCACTCACCTGGAGACTGCACGTGGTTGGGTGGCAGAAGGCCATGAAGCCTAGTGAGCGGCCGCAGAAAGGGGTGACAGTCCCTCATGCATCAGCTCCACCACAGAGCTTTGCTGCAGGTGCCCAAGGTGAGGGAAGCTCCCTCCCACCTCCATCCGCTGAAGGAGGAAATCCATCTCATGGAGCAACATGACAATACAGGAAAGCTCATGACGTGACCCTGAGTTGCCCAGCAACTTGAGAGGTTTCCCTACTGACCTCAGCAGTGACACTTGTGTTTATGCTTCTGAGTCAAACGAGACCTGGGTGAACAGGCACATGCCCCAGAAACCATGACTTCCTGAGGCTGTCCAACCTGTGTCACCTGTGGGAGGCACAACTGCCTCAAGTATCCCTCCTTCAGCAAGCCCTGGGCAGACAGAGGAGGTCTGTCCAAGCCAGAATAGGAAATGTATTTAAAAAAATGTCTTAAAAAAAAATAAATTAAAAGAGGTTTTTAAAAAACAAAACAAAGCAAATCAAAACAAAACCAAAAACAAACAAAAAAACCACCAAACCCAAAAACCTGGAGCAGGCCGGGAAAGCTGCCTGTATCAGACAGTCTAGCTGACTGGGATGAGCCGCGGGCTTCCTAGGCAGGTCTGTTTAACCTGGTAAGAGCTTATGAAAGTAGCTTAAAGGCGGGCTTAGGAGAATTTGCACTAAACTAAACTGCATAGGCACTGGGTACAACGCTCAGGCCAGAACACAGTAGTAGGAGAAAAGTGGGACTTTGTACAAGTTCTGCCTTATAATCATATTATGCTGAAATTCATGGCTTCCTGACTGTTCCCATCCACCAAGCAGCGCCAGACCCTAAGGCCTGGCAGTTTCCATCGGGAGCAGACACCAACATCAGAAGCTTTTTGGACCCACCTGGGGTTTCTTGCACACTGTGGGTGCCTGTCCTGTGCCGGCAGTGGTGGCTGCAGGGTGCAGGCAGCACAGCTCCCGCAGTGCAGGCAGCACGGTTCCGGCAGCAGCCTTGGAGACCCTGCAGCCCTGGAACCCTTTATCCATGGGAACCCCAGCCCCTGTGGTTACCCCATGTGTGGCACAGCTGGGAAAACAGGTCTGGCTAGGAGACCATCTTTAAGCAGTGAGAAAGATGACAAAAAAAGCCAGAGGGGAGTATTTGTCCCTCCTATCCCTCATCTCATACCCACCTCCTTCCCCAGTGCAGGGATGCAGCTATATGCATCCTGCTTCCCTGAGATGCCAACTGTTTGTACCTGTCCCCACCGCACACTGTAATTAAACCTGGCTGAGCCTCTGTGATGAAGGCGAGGTTCCACCTTGCTGTATTTCAAAATATAAATCGCTTTGAGCACAAACATCACAGCAGCAATGTGTCTTCTCCGCTGCACGTGGCTGTGCTGGTTTTTGAGGCCACTTTGCCAACGCTGATGTCCTGCTGCATCAACACGCTTCCAGCACACCCACACATTGCTGTGGCCGCTCCATCAGTACCTGGACACACAAGGACGTGTGAGCCGCCCCTCGGCTTCAGGGCCATCCAGAGCTGATCAGTATGTCCCACCCTTGGTGGAACAGGAACTTCCTTGTGATAGGAAAGGGTGTGCAGGGGATTCACCGCAGCAGCAGCGTCCCCAGGCACCGCACATGTGCTCACACCAGCTTTTTTTCAGAGGTTGCACAAGCAGCCGTTTGTGCCCGTGAGCATCACACGAGGTCTCGCTAAAACCCAGCACGGTCACACAAAGCGGCACCTCTAGACATGAACTTTCAGCTGAAAACACAAAATGAGTGATCTGTAGACAAAAAGCTGTGGTTTAGCAAGCTGGGGTGGAAGGACAGAAATACTTCCACGCAGTCCTGGCTGTAGCACCTTGGGCTCACACCTTCCCACCTCCCTGGACCCCCTCCCCAGCTCCCCTGCCTCCGAGCTGACCCAGCTGCACTGAGAGCAGCCCTGCAAAGGCAGGGGCTGGGGACAAGCAGGACCCACAGGGGAAAGCGGGGGCTTGGGGTCAGCCATGGCGCTGCTCACACCTGGGTGAAGCAAGAAAGCAAAACCTTCTGTTTTGATTTCCCTGGCAGAAACCCCCACCAGAATTTTCTGGGGAAACCTCCAAATTGGACAAAAGTGAGTCTCTGAGGACTGGTTGGCTTTCCTTTCTGGGGAAACCAGCCCAGCACTCCTGAGCAACTCCCAGCCACTATGGCACCCACCTTGGGATGTCCCTTTTGTTAACAGCCTGCTCTGCTCTCTCCTGAGCTGAACCGTGGACCTGAGGGGTCAGGGGGCCTGGGATGTGCAAGTGAACCCAGGCAGAGTTTGCACACACCAGCCAGCCCCTGCAGTGGTGGTCAGAATTTGGCAATGCTGGCCACATGAGCATCGGTAAGGTCCAGGATGGACTGCCTGTCCTGCTCCAAGCAGTGCTTTCATGGTGTCCAGGACACTGGTTGGATGCACAGCTCACATACTGGTACTCTGCTAAACATCGCAAAGACCGACCTTTGTCCTGCAGCAATCGCATCACTGCTGAACACCTCAGAGAGGGAGATGTGGACACAGTCAAGAGGAAAAGGTGGGGAGAAAATGAGGATTAGCAAGGGCACATAAAGACATGACCTCTCCCTGGCAGAGGTCTGGGTCACAAAGGAGTGTTGCCAGATCCTATTGCAACTAATTATGAAGCTCAGCTCATCAGGCAGCGAACAGCGAGCATCAGCCCGATCTACAGCATTCAGGGAAGGTGATTGAACAAGTAGGGTGGATGTGCTGGGGCAGGTCTCTCCAGGACATAGCCACCACGTGCCAGCAGCACGTGCCGGTGAGGTGCCCCCAGCAGGACATCCGGGAATGGAACCAGCCTCAGCATCACCAAACCAGCCCCAGCATCACCAAACCTGTCCCACCACGC